TAAAATTATTTGAGTCTAACATTTCAAGAGTGATAAGGTTCTTTTTCATGTCAGATATAAATCTAACTTGAGTCAATATACGTTGGACTTCATCATATAAGCAAATCTTAACAAATCCAATGTCCTCAATCTTACGTGATTGATCATTTTCCATACAAACTAAGTTGTTTGATATTGAAAAAATATTAAAAAACCCTCTAACCTAACAAATGTGATAAGAACAAGCACTATTTAGATCTCATACATCATCCACAATCTTTGATGAATTGCATATGGCATACCTTTGGCATCATAATCCATCTTCTAGCAAGTCATACTCCTTAAGGTCAAAATCTTGACATTGGCTAATGAAATGTCATAACTCCTTGATTTTCATGCAAAAGTCTTTCTTGACATTGCCACATCGCCAACACATCACCTTCTTTTTTGAAGTAATCTAATTCTATATTTGGATCTAACTTTAAACCCAAAATGTTCATCATCCTTGTCATTTTGTAAATATAACCAACCTCAAATCATATTAAGTGTCATGTTAGAAAAAGAAGATGGCGTTGATGACAACATCTTCTATTGTTAAACATCAGTCAACAAAACATTTACATTTACAATCTTGTTGTAAGAGATTTTTTGTCTATTACAATGAAACAAGACAAGTGATAATGATTGGTAACATCCAAGTAGTATACTCAGAAGATGAAGAATTTTTTTCTCATAAGTGAGCTATTATTCAGAAACTTGTAGACCTATCACAAAATCATCAAATGCATTGATGTGATATTGAATCTTTGTGCTAAAATCTTTCATCTTAAAGCTCATCAACTTCAATAATACATACAACCTGTTTGATAGTTCTTTGCCATAAAAATGTCCCTCAAGATACTCAAACAATAAAGTACAATCGTCATACTCATCTATTTGCTTCAGATTACAAGGTTGCAAATAAAGTATGACTATACTCAACGCATGTTCTTGGATATCTTATCATTTCTTGTCATTGTATGTGGGTGGTTTTGGCCCAATCATCTTGACCAAATTCATTGACTTAAGTGAACCCTTCGGTTGTGCGTACTCCGTTGAAGTAAACTTCGTCCACCATGTTTTGGTCTTTTGTCATGTGGTCCTTCACTCTTCTGGAGCTTCTTATTCTTTGTTATTGCTGCTTTATTAAAAAAAATTAAGGTCAGGAATTCCTTTGTCTCAAGCTCGGTGATGGTGTTGGGAAGTGAAGGCGTGTGGATTGATCGAGTAAGATACTAACATATGAGAGAAGTCAAGCATGAAATTGGACATGTTGTTGTGGTGTATAAGAACCTTCAAGGTTTTCAAAAATGGCTGCTCGGATGCTTGTGAACAAAACATGAAGGTATTGTATCTTAGTCCCAAGCCAACTGCCTGTATGGAAATTGGATCCCAAACATCATCATGCTAAATAAATAGCATATGTTAAAGCTATCATTTGTAGCTTACAACAAGTTTGCCGAACTTGATTTGGATTCAGTGATTCTTGGCTTCACATAGTTATTGTTAGTTCAGAGAAGAGACAACCAAATTTTTGTTGCCGTACTTCTTTGGTTCTTGATCTTGTTTTCTTGATAATGTAATTGTTTGCAAGATACCGATTGTGTCAAATAGAAGCAGGCTGCTCATCAGTTTCATTCATTGGAAGTTGGACAATCATGACACAATAGTTGAAAATCAAAAACTGAATCTAGTGAACAATATCGTTGATGAATCATTGTGTCTAGAATTTTCAGTCATAGCCAAGATAACTGTCTTTTGCTGTCTTCTTCAAATCAGTTTCCATGTTTGTAATTTTTTCTTGTTCGTCACGCCGTCACGAAGAGAGAGTGTTCGATGCGAACAAAAGACGTGAGATTGTTGCGCTCGTAGGTTCTTCATCACGGTCCAAAATAGCAATAGAATATGACCGCTAATCTGTCCTCCAAGTTTACAAGACGTGAAGGGGCACTTCCAGGTCGTGACAGAACTAGTGAACGTAGTACTGGTGGCCTGTCGTCGTGAGCTACTGTCAAACTCGATGTTACGGTTTAACGCCTCGGCCTTGACAGCCTTGCTCGAGTCGCGCCTTGATGCGACGACGAAGCTCTACGGATATGACGCACAACTCTAATCGGTCTGCAACCTCCGGGCTGACTCTCACTCAGGTTTACCTCTGATGGCTTTGTGGTAGCGCATCATGGTTCTAGAAGACTAAGATTCATACTCTCACTCATGTCCCAAACACCTTCTCTTACAAACTCTCATGTATCACTCCAACTCACACACAAACTCTCCTCACATCACCCTCTTCACATAAATGCAAACACACGTCGATACTCCAAGATACTCAAAAACTTCACTCCTTCATTACTGAAACAAGTCCTCACACATGACTCTCCAAACTTGCTTGAGAGGTGCTACTCTACCTCTCTATTTATACTACTTGAGAAGTTACCATAGTAACATGTGGTAATCTCTCTTAACTTACTTTTACCTAGGTAAGTTTGACTAACCCCCTCTACATGGCAACATGCCATTGGCCTACCTAAACCTTCTAGAAGCTTCCGGAATCCAAGGTTGAGGTGGCGACATGCCATTTGAAGCTTTTAAACTTCTACAAGCTTCCTAGCCACTAAGTCAACATTAGACTTAGTCTAGCCAATCATCTTTCATACATTTAGTCAAACCAATCAAATCCAAGCTTCTAGTCAAATATCTAATCACTTGGAATCTAGAACTTTTGTATAAGACAAAATAGAAGTGCTCACTCCTTGTAAAAGACAAAATAGAAGTGCTCACTCCATTCTTCTAGAACTCCGCTAATTATTCCGCCAACTATAGACATTGTAGCTAAACTTAGTCATGACTAGATAAACTTAGTTATAACTAACTAGTTTAGTCATAGCTAGCTAGTCTTAGCTATGCCTTGGCTAATCATCCTTATTCCCTTGACCACTTCTAAGACTTAGTACATATGTGCAACACCCGGTCTTACAAGTCGTCACTAGCAGCAATAGTAAAATAACGAAAAGACCACTATTTGCTCTGACACCATTTGTCAATAAAAAATCACGTAGTGAGAACAGATAGTTGAATCATTTTACTGGAGACAATAAAGATGACCTGACGAGGAGACTCGTCGGCCGACTAACAACAGACGACTAGCAAAATATTCAAAGTCTAAAAAACTGCCGACAACCAATAGCTATGCAAACCTTGAGCTGAGAAGAATTTGAGCGATATTGAGTTAATCTAACAGTATTGATCTTTGTAAACATATTTCATTAAAAAGTTAAATGATGATCAAATTATGAACTGCTGACTTAAGATATTGTTACTGAAAAATCAAGTACAACTATTTCTAATATTGTGATATATATTTATTTCTATAGTATCTATACATGACTATCTCTTTCATCCAATGAATTTTTTATTTAAAAAAAAAACAATTTTAATCAGCCTTAAATATAACAGATTAACAAACTCTCAAAGTCACCATTAAATTTTGTTTATCTCAAGCTATTGAGTTTTATGTTTTTCAGCATTTCACTTTCAATTTAGTATACTTCTTTATTAGATCTTTCTGAACAAAAAAATTTTCCCAATCCACATGATCCATATATTTGTAAATAATCTACTCGACCACTACGCTAGATAAATGATAATTAGCAACAACTTATACTTTGAGATATAGAGAGATTTGCTTCATGGTACCCCTGCGGAAAGTAATTTGCTTGATGGATACCCTCAGATTTAATTTTACCCGATGGGACCCCAATGACTGTGTGCCGTCGGCCATAGTTCTTGTAACTATGATTGATAGTTACAATGCGGGGATTACAATCAGAGATCAATATCTGATTATAATTTCTGGTGTATTATCATGGGGATAAATATCGATTTTGCCCGAAGTGCAATTTGTTGTGCTTCAATTCTCCCGATCGCACTAATTCGCGGATTTCTCTGCTGCTTCCGCCTACACACTCCTTCCGTAACCCTGCGAATGCGACGAGGAGCTCGTACCAAAAAGTGGTCCGAGCTCAAGTCTCGCGGTCACCCATTTGTGGCGAACAAATAAACTCCGGGTGAGCATTTCTTTGCTCGTCAACTGGGGGAGTGGCCGGATACAGAATGACAAAATAAAAACAAGTGAGTGTGATGGAGGGCGAAGTCCAACTCTGTACGCGGGTGTGGTTAACTCGTTGCACTCTCTCTAAAACTCAAGTCATTAGAACTTATTAGAACATAGGTAACCGTGCATCGTTCATAGGTCCCATCAAGCAAATTACTTTCTGTAGGGGTCCCATCAAGCAAATCTCTCTTGAGATATACTTTGGAAACGAATTAGTTACATTATCTCAAGACTACATCTATAAGAAAGAAATGTGTTTTAACTCTCCAATTCTCCTTGTAACCTCGGACTTCATTCAATTCAGCTCGCCTTAAATGTCGGATTTGATTATCTTCTATCAAGAGTTTTAACCTCGCGACTCTACATTATGCGGATATTTTGTTTAAATCAAGAAACTGAATAATTATAATAGAACAAACATTTATTCTAGGATTCTCCAAGTGATGCAACGAAGTTCCACTTTCAATTCACCTTCTAATCATGAAGACATGTTTTCCACTCATTTTCATGGTAGCCAAAGTCTGTTTACTATTGTTCTCGTTTTGAGTTTCTTTTCTGGTGTCTGGCAGGCGGCAGCCTTTTGACAGACGCCCTCTTTGTAAGACATTGAAAGCTCAAAGGAAGGATGTAAGAACTGATCGTACATGATCATCATTCCAGCAAAAGTGACGATATTATAAAGTAGAAATATTTGTGTATGGTCTTTTCCGAAGCGAGCATTCGGCAATGGTGGTCAGCGCAAGTGGAAGGAAATTTGAGCGTAAAATATACAAACGTATTACTCTCTCGGCTCGCTGGCTGACAACGGTCAGTTAGCGAGCCAGTTGATGAATTCAACCTTTATTGATTAGTTCCAGAATCACATCAGGGACCTCTTCATAACCCAGGAGTATGCTTACTGCTGAGTTGGTTCTTACTTGAGAACAATGAAAAATGCAATGCTGAACAGAGCAATGAAAAATGGTTCACATTGGGGATAATAAGCCTTACTCAGAGAATAAGCATGCTCAATTACTTCGGGAGTAGCATCAGAAGAGGACCTTTATTGTGGTAAAAGTACACTGTGCACCTTCGCACACTTACAGTCCTCGAAGTAATAAAATCTACACTTATTGGGTTCTTGGGTCCTCAATGAAGAAGGAGACCGGTGTGACCATGTGGTCAACAGAGACCGCACGAGAGGAGACAATGACTGGACACGCAAATGGCACTCCTCTGCTGGAAGGTCCGGCAGCCATCCAGACATATGATAAGAGACGGTATATCCAAGAAAAATGCGAGCATAAACCCGCCGTTCTCATGTAATGTTCCCCAAATTTTCAAGGGAGATCTACCAAAAACAAGAGTTACTCGTGGCCTCTGTTTCACTTGCCTCTAGGCTATAATTCTACACCAGCTTGTCTGTATCACCACCATCCAATATGTGTGTCTCGTCAAGAAATAACAGGGAAGAGTGGAGAAGTAACCCATTAAACTGTGTGGGCAATCATCCCCATCAGATGGTAAATAGGTGAAAATAGGAGCAAGCAGGTAGCGAATGAATTGCGCTCTGAAGAACTTAACTGCCTTGCTCTCTATATGCCAATGTTGACATTTCAGCCGGAACCACCCAAAACCTATCCAAATAACCATATATACCCTAAACCTTTAAAGCAACAAACCGCCAAGTTACCATCAAACCTCATCTCTAGAACTCTCGGGGGTTGCAAAACTTGTTCAGCAAATTCCCCCGAGAGAGAAGCCTTTGAAACCCATTATATGATTACAACGATGATTCCGCAAAATTGATTTAGATTTGCTCGAAAAATAAACCACAGGATGAAACAGTGCATCTCATTCTAATTGTGCTCTGTACAATCTTCTAAATACCAGACTCAAAGTTGCCGATCATTTGACGGATTTTCCTGTTCAAATGATTAATCACGACCTCCTGACAGTTGAAAGAACCATCTCGCAGCTGCAGTACTAAAGCAGAACCAACACATTTGCAGCCCGCCAATCAAACCAGCAACGCAATGGTCACAGATTTAGCTTAAACCACCACTGGAAGTGACTTGCGAAGATATCGAGTAGCAAATTCATCCAGCACAACAGTATTCGTCGTGGGAACTGAACTTGGTACAACGGGCAACTTACACCTTGGAAAATTGTCGTGTTCCAGACCAATCCAAGAACAAATGAGTTCCCATTTTCATGATGACCCTTCAGTACATGAAGTTCCTTGATGCAATCTGCTAAGATCAACATGAACGAAATGTCAAACGCAGTATGGATATTTCATTCTCCGACCTGAAGATAAATCAACGAAGTCAAACAACGTCTACACCGCGATTACGTATGTTAAAACGTCGGCGTTACTAAGTCAATAAGGCATCTAGATGTTAACATGTGTCACGCCTCATAGATTGATTAAACTAAGACTACATTGTGGCCCGCCTATAAACGCAACATCAACAGCAATAACAATAACAACCTTCTCAAACGACCGAAGAAGATGAGAGGAAGAGACAAAACTTCGTCTAACCCTCCTACAACCTGCCATTACTTCGTGTGCACAACCACTCACCTTGAGAAAGTAGGTGGCAAATTTAGGCATACGACAAAATAAAGACTGACGAATGTTACAACCTCGAAGAAACAGAAACCTTCCAAGGAAAAAGATTATTGAAATCGAACCTGTCTGAGTCGCTGTGCTCGGGGAAGCTACGGCTGCTTATATGGATCGAGTCGATATGTCCACACGTGAGTTATCACACCTCGATCCGACCGTGGACAAACTCGCTCACATTGACGGGTCCAGGCAAAGTAGCATCCTTCACTACTCATGCTTGTATCAGCACAAGCATGACGTTGCAAGCCAAAGGGATAATTCTACCCATTAAAGCTTGCAATCGTTAAGATATTATTTTCAAGACAGGATACCTCTGAAGCATCAGTAAGGTGTGGCTAAGCGTGCTTCGAACGTTTCTATCTACAAAGCAAGACAACCGCATAATTTGGCAAGTCAATAACCTGCCTTTTACAGGGAATGTCCCTTGTGCAAAGTTGTGTATGCTTCTCCAGTCCGAGCGCCACAACAGACTCATTAGAAGGTTTCCATTCTGTTCTAAGATGTATAGAAGACAATGCCTAAACACTTGAGCCCTTGTCAACATTAACAGTCGTCTTTCACATAAACGCAGACAGTAGCATCTACTTTTCCACCGCCACATATCTGGAGCCGTCCAAATTTCTACCGTTAACTTGTACCACCCGCAGCTTCTGCAGCCCGCTGTCTCATCATCTCCATTACTGCAGCTCTGCGACGGGACTCCTGCTGTTGATTTGATCTCCTAACATGCTCCTTCAAATCCCTGTAACATAAGAAAATTAAATGTGAGTCAACCCCGAAACTTGGGTTGAACCCTAAACCCTACATATAGGGACAAAACTGTTTTCAGAAAAATTAATTCAACATGTTGTTTTCAACATGTTATTTAAGCACCCGCGGAATCGAGTCTTAACTGCATATCTCCAAAGAGTACGAGAAATTAAGCCCCAGTTGTGTAAAATTCAATATTTACCATAAAAACATCTTCTCCTAAACAAGGCACCATAAACTTGAAGGTCAAAGGGCGGCGAATATTTATCACAGATCGGTAATAGATTTCTGTTCTTACTTGCAACGAGGAACGCGGCACTCGGATTCCTTGCAAGCACGGGCATGAAGTTGGAGCAGATACCACATTCTCTTGCATAGAGCGCAACCACCTGATGCGCGTACTTTACACATCATCCCGTGCCTGAATAGACCTTTAACGCTACGACACTTCGGATAAGCGCAACTAGGTACGCCGCACTGAGACGCATGCACGAGCAAATCCAGCATCTTTCGCAGCTGTTGTGACAAGGTCGAATAATCAGAATCAAGGGCGGAAAGATCAGCAAAGATATTTTAAACACAAAATCTATTAAAATCCTCGTCATGTTCAAGAGGAAACTAAGTACTGAAATCATCGACATGAATTTTTACCCTGAAATACCATTTGCAGATTTTTTGCAGATTTTTTTATTGCAGGTTAAAGAGAACCACTCATTGCAAGAAAAACAGGTGACAGTCAGTATTCTATAAAAACAGTTTACGAAGAATAGAAACCGAGAGCTGACCTGTAGGACACGTTGCTGCCTGGCTTCCTTGTTCTGAGCATTCCGCTCAGACGCAGAAGGATGTGGTGTCAGCTTGTGATTATGTTTAACAACGTCCTTACAGTTGTTACACAAATCGAAGTCAGGACAGGTTTCGCACCTCCACCCTTGACCTGTTTCGATATCACGATGGCATTGGTTGCACGTAATAACAAAAGCAGGTGCTGTAGGATTGTGGAGATGGTAAAGGACCATCATCGAGGAGTGCTTAGCTCGTCGTAAAGTATCATACTGATAATGATTCCCTTGACACAAACTCAAGAAAGCTTGCCGAGTGTCGAAGAATTCACTCTCCATGAATTCATCTTTGTCTTTCGTATCTGCGGGAACCTTTTCTACCTCGATCTGCAATTGGTACAGTTGGAAATCTTGATTCAGTTAACAACAATGATCCCAAATAAAACGAAAAGAGTGCGTAGATAGATCAAGAGTTCCGACACCCGACGCTACAGAAAGAAAGAAAGATAGGATGCTAAGATGCCTGAAGTGATAATAACTTTTGATTTTTGTCCAAATTCTTACAGGTGTGAGTTGATGAGCCTCTTTACTCGTGGTGGGATGTCGGTCCCTTTCTTCACGTTTCTGTTCAGAATCATGACACCTGTCACCAAAGCCATGTTAGAGGACTTATGCACAGCAGAAGACCAGGTGTTTAATAGGCGATAAAAACTGAAATCACGAGAGAGTGGGTCAGATAAGATGATACTGATCACAAGGAGGAGCGTATCCGAATTTAAATCAAACTAGTATGAACCGTCTTTAATACAGAATAAGATGCACAGTCGTACACACCTATCACATAGATTAAAGCTCTTGCATTGCTTGCATGTCCATCGCCAGCCGCTAATGATGAAGTTACGGCAATGAGTACAACAAAAGTGCAAGTGCACCATAATAAAATCCTCCTTCATTGGCAAAATTGACTCACCAAGCTGGAAAAGCAAAAAATCATTGACGTTAGAAACCAAATTTGTAGATGGGAACAAACCATACGCTTACAGGTATAAATTTTAAAATCTTTTGGGACGAAATTCTTGAACCAGCGCAATAGCCCAACCGACGCGCTTGTATCAACCAACTCTGTCCTGGATAGATGATATTTTATCTTGAACGAAGCTTGTACGATAATCGCAACCTTTCCTCACCTATGCCCTCTAAATATCAGTGAAAGTTTTAGGCTAAGTTTTCAAGACACAACGTCACTTTTAATGTAGCACGATGCGACATGTGTCAGAGGTTGCGGGGTTGTACGGTGAAGACAGACCTTATACATAAGCTGAACGTCTTTAGAAGCATTGCTTGCAAGTTCTGCTTGAGCAGCTGCTTTAGAAGCACGCTTGGTTGCAGTTTTCTTATTTTTACCCTTCTTCTGTAGCTTAAGTCCATCCTCCTCCTCTTGCTGAAGCTGAACTATCATATCCTCCGCAGCTCCAGGCCAGTAGTCTCCATCAAAATACGGTAGACGAGCAGCTGTAACTCTAGTTCGACATTCTCCAGTTGACTGGAAAAAATGGTCATAGAGATTGGTCACTTCTGCAACAATCCCATCGGCAGTCGCCTTTTTCAACATTGTCAAGTACCTGTTAACAATAAAGGAACAAAATATTAGAGTCTCCCCGTCAAATGTGAATACTCTAGCAGCTCCATTTGAATTGGAGTGGATGAGCAAGATTTCAGTAAACAACTTGGCCCCTTGACAGTATCAACAGTACTGAACGCATAGTCCTAACAAGCTAGTACGATGCTTTATGCGAGTCGTAGAGATCTATAGTTGGATGACGACATTGTGACTAGCAGCACGCGATACTCAGTCTGTGTTCCCACATCAAGTTAAGTAAATCATCAGCTTACCAATCACGCAGCTTATCAGACTTCGGTGTCTTTTGTATCTCTGGATGACAATACAGAATGTAGTCCTCGCCTTTAAGGGGCGGACAAGCCCAAATGTAGCAGCTACTAAATCCACGTAGCTTGCAGTAATCAAGGTAAGCAATCTGCAAAACAACCACATCCACACGAAAATGGTCATCTACAACTCTAGTCTAGCGATGCAAATTAGAAGCTTATTAGACTCCGTAACGAGTGTGGGGAATGGCTTACTGGATCTGAACGAAATCATGACCTCGGTGAGAATAGCAAGAAGAAAGAAGACTTTGAGAACTTACCAAGATTTCATGGTAAACATAAGTACGAAGGGCCTCGTTGCCAGAAGTTCTCACATCAGGCCTGAAGTACTTCACAGAGTCCAGGTATGATAGATACACTCGCCGTTGATTTGGGGGAGCACATTCGACCCCAAACTCTTGGACATACATTCCAAATAAGCATACTTCCACGCCTTCTATCTTTTGGAAAAGTAGGACCACCTGGGAAAAACAAGAACTCCAAATCAAGACTCACTTCATCCCAACGAAATCTTTCTCTTAAGGCAGAAAAGGGTTTGATTCGCCACCAAAGTATGTCGTACACGTTGTACTCATGCTTGCCAAGGATTCACTGCATCACAAAATTGTAAAGTAACACCTTAATAAATCAGGTCCAAACCGGCAAACTTTGAGACCATGAGTGTACCTTGGACTTGTAGGGAAACTCGGTCGGGTAGTACTCCTCCTGGAATATTTCCAGAAATCGAGCCTTTACCTCTAGCTTCTTATCGACATTAGAGACCACTCTAATGACCAATGAATCTGCTCCCAAGACCTCATCGACATTTTTCCCAAGTGCGCGCGCACGGTCTATTCTTTCTTGTCTCAGTTTCCGCGCCAATCTTTGTTCCAAATGATCACTAAGAAACGTTTTAGGTAAATCCTTAGCTCCCAAAACTGCCGAGGAAAGAAGTGGCTTCCTTTCACCCCTCTCGATCTCCAGCATACAACATTGAGGACACGTGTATTCTGCTTCTCCACCTTCGTTCCTCCGGCCGTTAAAAAGAGCACACACCTGATGGTTCCATTGATTGCATTTGTCGCATTGAACCCACTGCAGGACAAAGCAGAAAAGACCTTCGGTTACGAAGAAGCACGATCGAGAAAAGCAAAGAACATCGTTAGAGCTCAATGATTTCCTCAATAAAAAAACAGATTTTATTCGAGACTGGGAAATGAAATCTGCAATGATATGGTAAATGGTAAATGGTAAATAGCCCGTGGGACCCAAAGGGTCAAAAGGCTAAAAAACACAAAACAGACAATCCAATGAGAGAGGCATCCTCCTACCGCTTCCTCGGTCTCCTCATCATTTTTCCTCTTTTCCAACTTGGTCTTCAAGTAGGACATTCCGTCCATCTCGACCACATCACTTCGTAAATCATTGTAACATGGTATACAGAAGTAGTGCCTTGTTTCACCAGAACCAGCGGTGTAGAATGGAGCGTTACGTTTGATTCGAGCACCACAAGAGGTACAATATATGGGAGGCGGCTCAAAAGTGAGCTTCTCCACGGCACACAATCGGCAAGCATTATCGCTCATCTGATGCTCCATAGCTTGATTCTTTTCAGCCTTGGCCTTGCTCTGAGACAGAACAGAGAAATATTTTACCTCAGCAATGGAGAGTTTTCTAACGCAAGTCCTAGATGCACCAGTTGGAACCTTCTTAGTAACTTAGTTGTCAAATTGCCTCTTACTGGGGGACAATAGCCAAGTGTATTGGTCAGAAAGCCGACCTACGATAAACAACTACAATTCCCTACGACTATGCTTGTCATTTCAACTTGTTTAAAAATGAAGAGGTTAAGTACAGTGCTAGCCCATTTTCATAGCTCTCCCGTCATGTATTCACCCTCCCTAGTGAAAATAGAAAATCTATTCCACGGCTCTAAGGTCCTCAGATCACGCAGGCACGCACTAAGAATTATCCTTGTTCACAATATTCTCGCGCATTTCTGATAGAATGACCTAAACTTCTGACTTACTTTTGACTTCATTCATACATACAGACGCGAGACGTCCACAATATTTCTGACGCACTTTCCATAATTACTACACCAGTATTTTCTTCACTCTCACATTTAACGAGTTTTCTGATTTATCCTTCATATACGCTGTTCTCTCACGTCCAAATTCATTCCTATTCAGTTTGTGACTTTTTCATTGTATGACAGTTATTTCATCGTGTGCTTTACTGGCAAACCAGTACTGGCACAGTTCCAATCCATGACCCTAGCAATTAGGATAATACGAAATTCAATTCAATTTAAATCGGACTAGAAAAAACACTTATCCTTGCAATTCGTATGATCCAGATTTGCTTCACACTGACATTCGACAGCACTTACGTGGAATGCTGCAAGGGGCACTTAGAGCTTACCTGGCCAACCCATTGTCGAAGACCGATGATATGTTCTCTTATTTGATCCGGCGTAAACAACTCTGTCAAAGATGTGCCAACAATCTTCGGTTTACCCGGTTTCGCATTTGGAGCGACAATAATAGCACCTGCAGCGCCGGAAGAACTAGCCTCTTGCTTAACGGGAGGGGGTGCGGGAGCAGGCTCGGCCTTAACAGACGTTGCAGCTTGGGATATTCCTGATGAAGGTTCCGACTTAACTTGACTTGCGGTCTCTACTTTGACCGTTACTTGCCTGTGGGTTGTAGTCATAGTCTGGGCACTTCCCTGAGATTCCATCTTGGTCACAGTCGTTGAACTCTCTACTTTTACCGCTGTTGAAGTCTCACTTTTCACCGACGACATTGGTCGATTCGATCCTTGCTGCTGAGCACCAGATTGTGTGGAAACCGTAGCTGGTGCTTGCGTCTTAACAGATCCAGATGTGGAGTGCTGTTGAGGCGGTTGCATGCTAGTGGCCCCACTGACCGTTCCACTCTCGGTCTTCACTCTTTTTGGAGGTCCTTGGATGTCATAATCTACAGCTGATGGCAATGCAGGCAGATTTCCACCAGAAAGTCCACTTCCAGCACTGGAGGTATTGTTTGCAGGAGAAGGCGCGGGGCCTGGTGAGCCCTGACTGAGTTGCAACGATGTTGAACTGGGATGAGGTCTCTTGTTTATCATGGTCTTCACTGGTCCACACACAGGACAGAACGCATCATTGCAGATCCTGTAGTGATGAAGAAGCGATCGAGAAGCGTTGCATCGTGTATAAGTACAAGCCCCGTCGCGGCACGACCCAAGATGAGTCCATAGCTGTCGGGCCATGTGGCAGTGAGGGCTTATGTTGCATTGTCCTTCAGCTGCCGTACACTTACTAGCATGCCTTAAAAAGAGCAGCCATCGTTGCTGCTTTGAATACTGTTGGGCACGCTGAGGATCGATCTGTCCAGGGCGGGGTTGTCCTCCAGGAAGAGCACCGTTTGAATTGCTCCCAGTGCGAGGTGCTGGTTGCGCAGAAGCAGTTGAGCCATTTGCAGGGCCTTGCTGTGGTGCCTGTGCAGGAGCTGCAACAGGTTGCACCTGTGGTTGAGACTGTTGAGTTTGTTGGTCCCCTGAAGGAGATGGGGCCGGCTGTGGCTGACTCTCCTGCTGTGACACTTGACTTTGAGCCTGAGGCCTCTGCTGCTGCGGCTGCTGCTGCTGCTGCTGCGTTTGTGCGAACGAGCGTTGCGGCATTTGTTGCTGTGGTCTTGATTGTTGAACTGAGCTTGGAGGCTAGTCACAATCAACGAAGAGGAAGCTCATCAAAGATGATTTCGAAGAGACCATGGAGTGGATCAATGTGATACAATACAGCATGTATGAAAAACTACGTCCAACCTCGTGTAGCATCCTTTGATACTTCTTCCACACAACATCAGTTACCTGAGAAGGTGCCTTCGTGGTTGTTTGTTGCTGAGAGAAAGAAGACAGCTCCTGCTGCTGTTGTGGCTGCTGCGTCTGGTCAGGGAGCTTTTGCTGCGCAGTAGGTATCTGCTGACGACCTTGCTGGGAGTGATTCGAGCTTTGTTGTTGTTGCGAGGACGTTTGACGTTGATGCTGTTGAGCTTGCATATTCATCTGTTGATGAAGGGCAACGGGCTGCTGACGCTGCAACTGAGGTGATGGAGGCTGGGAATCGTAGAGGGTACGACCCGATGCCAACGACACCTTCTGAGTGGGTGACTGTTGCTGTGACTGCTCTTGCGGCATACTCCCACTTTGTGATTTCTGCGTTGATTGGCTTGGAGGAGGCATCGACTGAAACATCCCCTGACTTTTAGGAATTTGGGCCTGTTGCTGCTGCTGCTGTGTCCTCGAACCAGTAGAATTTTGGGCGAAACTACTCCGTTGCAAGTGCTGCTGCAGTTGCTGCGACTGGTTGTTCTGCGGCAGATGTTGCTGTGAAGTATTTTGCTGGGACGACGGCAAACCGGGGACAGGGATCATCTTCTGTGTCTGAGAGCCATTTGAACTCATGTTGAGACCGCTGCCAGTAAGCCCTCCAGATGAGACGGGAGGATACATTGTCCCCGGCCCGGCAAGATCTGCCGCATTCATAGCGTAGCCATCACCCATTGGAATTGCAAGACTTGATGCTGCTGATAGAGAAAAATATCAAACAACAGCGATTTAAGTGAGAAACTAATGATCTAACTTATGCGTACAAAAGCAAGCAAAAGACAAAATCTGATGTGCTTCAATCGCGAATTCATAGACTCGATCAAGCAGAAGGTAGATATCACAATAAAACTCTTCTAGAAGTGTGTCCTGTAGTCTTTAAGTAGCTTATTCCTTTAAACTGTACGTAAGGGAATCATAGCCAAAGACCATGATCCTCCAAAATTCCCTTGTCTATGGTATCGCCCTGGCTGGCCTGTCACAAGGGAAGGAGAAGGAAGAGATAGAGAGAGAGCTACTTACATAGAAATAATTTTCACTATTGTTAAACTTTGTCCAAATAAATGAGGTAAGTTGAATGTTTCAAAGTTACAGCCAGGACATTCTTTCCTAGCTGAACCAGGTCTCCATCAAGAGGATAAAAATTTGGGAACCAGATGAGAAGAAACTCTAAACCTATGCTAAGAATCCAGATAACACTACTGCCTAAACCAGCTGAGAAAATTTTTAGTAAAATAACGGCCACGAAGTGTGCCTGTTAACAAATTTTATACTTTCCACCACATTGACGAGACTTTGATTGGTAAAGAGGATTCATCAAAAAATGCGTAAGACAGTCTAAAAAACTTCCTAAACAGAAAAGTGATGGGCAACATGGTGCCAATGCCAGTAAAACGGCGGTAGAACGCTGTGATTAGAACAGGGAACATAACGAGGCGTAAAGCATGAAACGTGTGCAGGTATATTGGCTGTGATAAAACAGGATAACTATATGAATTTTCCAAGAAAGGACATGGCAGCAAACGGGGAGTCAATGGGGCCAACCAGAAGGGCTACAGATAAATCCCCAAGGGATATCAAGAGAACGACATGCGATGTTTACAAATGAGATTACCCCAAGTGGGGTAGGAATTCCTAACGAACTAATAAGTATAACAAGACAACAGTCACAAAAACATATTATGAAAGAAGAAGCATAAAGGATAAAAGTGAAACCAAAATAAGTGTGAGTACTGCTAGAGACGCAATGGTCAGGCCCCCTTAGAAAATGTTCAAAGTTTTCTGTGCATAATACTTCAAAGAAGGAGTTATATCACAAGATATATTTGCTGGCTACCAGGCAGGGCCAGAGAGCTGCATAACTTAATCGGGAAGGAAAATTGCTCTTACAGGATGCCTGTTTGCATTACAATAACGCATCTGCAGGCTACCAAGCAGGCCCGGAGAATCCCATCGGAGACTAATGAAATAATAAATGATCCACCGCAAGGACTTATGATGCAAGGAAACGAGTTGAGACCACCTAAGTTAGGCATAATGATTGTAGACCAATGCGAAATAACAATGGATCAACTGCAAGCGCTATTGGTACAAGAAAACTACTTCAGACCAACTAACACATGTATAGTTGATTCTCGACCAATTTAGCCTGCACAATTTTGCAAGCAAAGAGTTTTCTCCCTATAATTTGTAGGGGAGGAAGGCAGAACACATGAGAACAAGGTTTACAGTGAGAGCAGTTGATATGAAGATATTAAAAGCTCTACTTCCGTCAATCATGTGAATCAACCCTACTTAAATCTAGTTATAAGAAACACATTTGACATCCCAGGTTTCTTTCAAAGCTAATACAGGGTGGCAGCATCAGAATTCATATGTGATCAAAGTAATGACTTTACCCTTGAACTTGGGACTACTTCACAGGATAAACAACGTACAAAACTACTCAACCATATTACGACACTTACGTTGCATTCGAAGTTGCTGTTGCTGTTGCTGTCTTTGTTGATTTGTGCGTTGTTGATGTTGCTGCGAAGCTTGCATCCCCGAAAACTGATTTGAATTTAGGTGGCTGGGCTGACTGTGCATTGTTGAATTGCCATTCATAAGGTGTTGATTATTTCCCATCATCGGCATCCCATTATTCATGCCATTTGTTGTACTTAGAGCATTCTTCCGCTGTTGTACAATATTGTTTACTAGACCACCCATTTGGCCGTTCATACTACGATACATGTGGTTCCCAGACACCCCTCCAAAGGATTGTGGAGGCTGCATACCTACAGGTGTGACATTTGCCAGTAGAAGTCCCGTCGAAGAAGACTGATTCATACCCATTCCTTGACTAGAGGTAAGACCAGGAGTTGGGATCATTTGGCTCCCAGCTGTTGGCATACCCATGCTCATGCCCACATTACCATTTTGTGACATCCTCATCCCACTCATGCCCTGTTGTGAGACTAATGAGTTAGGATTGGCCCCCGGGGTGGGAATCATATTTCCACCTGAACTGTTATACATCATGTTACTATGTCCTGGAGTTGGCATCATATTACCACCATTCCCGGAGGGTGGCATCATGTTGTTGACTTTTCCAGATGAAGCCATCATGCTATTCATCCCAGGTAACATATTGTTTGAATGCCCATGCCCGGGGGTTGGTATCATGTTACTCATACCACCCGGAGTTGGGATCATGTTGCTCATATTCCCTGGAGTAGGAATCATATTGCTTGCAACACCTGGTGTAGGAACCATGGCACTTACACCACCTGGACCAGGCATCAAATTTCCAGTACCACCAGGAGTTGGAATCATCGTGGATGCAACTCCAGGTGTTGGAATCATATTACCCATAGAGGAAGAAGGCAGATTCCCGTGGGAACCAAGCTGAGGGGCAACTTGAGTTGTTTTCGTCATTCGTTTGGCCACCGTTTGAAGTCGAGCTTCCAGGGTACTTTGATCTGCATACTCCTCCTGCAAACCAACACGCACAGGGAAAGGTAAGTTTTAAGCAGAGTAAGTTCACTTTGATCTCTAACTCATCCAAGAACACAACTGATCCTGATTCCCATGAGAAAAAACAACTTGACCCAAACACTGAAACTATGACACAAAACTCACATTTTCGCTATTGCACTTGTAAGAAAAATAAATGCAAGTCTATAGTGCACAGTTTTATGCGTTACAAGGTAAATAATAAGGGTTTATCCATACATGTATCCTACAAGGTAACCATTGTCAGAAATAACCCACATCAGTTTAATTCGCATTTTGAATGCCATGGCATAATTATAAGAGTTCCAGAGTGAATGTGTTGTAGTGCGGTATTGACGAACCGACAATACCGCACTTTCTCCATGGAAGTGATTTTAGGACGGAAATTGTGATGAGACTACTGGAACTATCATCTTTACCTTTGAAATAGCATCATTTCTGCCCAAAGGGGTTTTAGGTGAGACCCACACACCCTGAACAAGTACATTACCACTACTTATTGAGAGTATGAAGAACTTGGATGATGTTGGAAGTCGTAAAGAGAATAATTTAGAGAGGATGACCGGGAGGAAGATACACAGACGACAAAGTTTATTTATGGACTAACAAATCTCCCTGCTACATAAAATTCACATTGAGTTCATACCTTCGGTCAAAACACTATTCATTAGCCTTCCGATCATCAGTCTTGTATCGTCATTTTAACACTATTTTATTTTATCAAGACCTGATACATTTGTCGCAGTAACCTCAATTGCAGATCTGGTCTGCACTGTGACTACATGATTCGGTAGTAATGATTGAACATCTAAAGATAAACAGGAGAGGTGAACCCTGTTGATTCAAGCTTGAAGCAAAACCATCCGATGCAGTTCAGTATATCAGGAGAAATAATATCAGGAGACAAAATGGGCAGGAGTGGCGTTAAAAACATGGAGGTAACAATGGGCATTGAACAGCCAACAAGAGAAATTAAGTTCAAAGCAAACCATGAGGATATCTAGAAGACACGTAGTTTATTCAATCTACGTGTTAATGCATATAGAAGAAAGAAACCCCGCAAAAGAAAGGCAGACTTTCATAGAACCCATATAAATAAGGAAGAAATACTAAAACAATCAATTCAAACAGATGAAAATGACCTGATTTGAAAAAGGAAGAAAATAGGCCGTGATACAACATAGCACGATGTATGCAACAGTTACCTTCCTCCACATTAGAGTAGTTATATATGGTTGTATCACTATGGAAATATTCAAAGATCAACCGATTTCGACTAGAATCCGGCAAGATAGTAGCACAATTCCACAACAGTCACATTAACGGGCAAAGTCCGGGATGTTCCAAATAGTAAGGGAATCTGAGCTGCATCCTCTATGGCACAATTATAGATATACATAAATAAAATACCAATAAAGCAACAAACGCTTATACTTGCCAGACCGAATATGATTAATCAGTACCGGATCGAGGGAGGGCGTCTGATGTCAAAAGCTATGGAAATAAACCGAAGCACTAGCCTGATCTCATGGGAATGATGCGAATATGAAAATTAGAATATCATAGCATGGAACTGACTAAGAAGATGGAAGATAAGAGTCAACTGGTTATCGGAATATGCAACTTTGACTTTCATTCACATTAAATAGTAATGGAGGCCATAATTAACGTAGAGATAATACATGTAATAACTCCCGCTAACCACCAAACCTCATGTAATGGCGAGGCCATGCCAGTCCACTAGGAAACTTTTTGAGAATTGAGAGCCACAACACCTCTCGTTCTCACTGGAAGTTCTCAATGGAAGTTGTCGAGTTGGGATTCCATTCAGTCGATAAGACCAATATTGGACAATCAATTGTACACAATTAAAATGCCCTCTTTCAAATCCAAATAACAAGACCAACTCAAATGGTCTTGAAAAGGTCCAAATGTGGTCTATAATAGTTCCAAGAATCCAGTGTCACTCAACCTGCTTACAAAAATCTTTAACATGATTCAAGAACTGTTTCCATATCCCATATGACCAATTAGCCTTGGATCAGTGAAATAGATCATATATTTGAACAGATACAAATGATTGAACATTGATTCAAGCATTTCTACCCAAGTATTATAATATCACTATCTTTGTCTTGATGAACAAAACAGACGGTTCACATAAAATTGGATGATTGACTAGATTGCACAATCACAAACGCTACTTCCTCATCTACAAGCCAATTCCATGGATACAAGACATCAATTTGCATGACCAGTATGGATGTGTGTAGATAACAGACTTTAACTACACACACATAAAAGTGTTAAATGTAGGCTAGGACAAAGAGAAATACAAAGGTGTAATAGAAGATCGAGAATAGTAGCCATCTTTAAGGTTGGGCGGCGTCATTACTGTGTGCATAAGTTTCTGCCTCGAGTCCTACCAGTACAGGAAATAAAAAGCTGTGAACTGAAATCTATAATTTGAAACGGTTGAAATCATACAGCTTGGGCGGCGTCATTCTGTATGCAGTTCTGACTCGAATCCTACCACTACAGTCAATGACTTTGATGTCCTACTTGGCAAAGCCTGACAAGTACTACCTACGAGGCAAACCTAGCGCTGCCTGCACATACAAATGTTAGATGTTGGCTAGGACAAAGAAAAGAAATTGCGTGATAGGAAAAATAGAAATCACGATAAAAAACACAAAGTTGCTACTCAATATCCACATTTCTACCTCATTGTGGTCTAGGCGCTTAAATGAGCGGAGAGGAGACTAGTGGACTTCGGAACTAAATATCCACATGTCTACATGCCGAAGAAGTGACGCGAAGAGAAGAGAATGACGGTCTCAGTCCTGCGGACGGGTCCAGTCCGCTGTAATTAGTCTTCGGCGGACGAGGACCGTCTATTTATCGTGAGCGGGGAGTTGGTCCGGACCTTCAAAGCCTCCGGGAAAGGTAAATGCCGCAGTGTTTGTAATCTTCTGCAAGATCGCGAGTTTCCGCGGTCGACGTAAAAGGATGTCGAATCCAGAGTTACCTGTGGGTATGATCTGTTTGCCAGAGTTTCGTACGGTGCTGTAACGATCAGCCGCGTCCGTTGTGCACTGGTCCTGATCTAGTTTTGTGCTTCACGTGCAGCTTTGTCCTTGGCTTTGGTATTGTTTTACACCATGCATTCGATGAATAACATGCGGGATTGGTAGAGCGATGTGCCTACCTGGTCCCGTCTCCTAGAAGAGGAACTCAGTCCTTGCTGTGGTTCCCAGTTTATTAGTAAATTTGGCTGGTCGACTAACCACATAGCAGTGAAGGCCAGAAGGTGTGCTACGTATTCAGCTAACCTTATGTGTAAGATTCGGCGAAGCGTGTGCATCTAGCGTACATGAAACTAGCGAGGGAGTTTGAATATATATGATAATCTACGAGAATTGGACACAGAATATAGTGAGAGATAAGACATACGGCCTAAACAAATAGAAATATCTGTAAGCAAAGTGGGAATAGAGAAAACATCCAAAAGACAGTATCTTAAGGAAGTTCATGTTGGACGTGAAAATTCATACGTACCAGCTTACTTGATTAACAGGAACTAAAACAACTACTTACGGGACAACACATCTATACATCACTATTGTCACATTTCCAGAGAGAACAAGCACAGAGGAAGTACACTGCTATCAACAGAGCTCCTCATGTCGATGTTAACTACCTGATGCAATGCAATACAACTTTCCATGCTGTGCACAGGTCTTCTGTATCTCTAATCAAACTCTCCCAAACCTCTTTACCTGAAAAATAAAGTTCACCTACATCCATCTGAAACTATTGCCCTTAGCCTCTAATCATAAAATCTCCGGACGAATAATAAATGTTCCCAAGTGACTAGTAGATCTTTAGTGATGCATGTCACCTGTTGCTTGATAGCAGAAGCTAACCTTAGTCATGGCTTGACGATACAATCCCTCCTCTAGTCGCTTGACAAAATCGGGCAGCTTCTGCTGCCATTCTGCAGTGACAGGGCCCCTGCGCTTCTGAAATAGTGACAAACTGGAAAAGAAACCAAGGGTCATGGCGTTGTCTACTCTCTTCAATTCGGATCTCCTCAATTAACAACAGACTACAATGCCTTGATATATATACGCGAATCGATACTAAGATTTCGGGTATGTCAATACAGGACATCCCGACAAACCTCTGCATATACTCAGACGAAGTGATCAATAACAAGTACCGCATGTAGCAGAGGATCAGCCAAGAACTACACCTACCAGGGACGGACAACTAAAGTTCTCAGTCTTAGCAACGAACCTGCAAAACTGATTTAAACGTCAAAATATTATTGCAGACTTACATGTTATCTACAACAGTTCGGCGAAGTCCTAAATTGTCACTTTCTTGGTGCCAGGTCCTGTGACCTTGGGCACTCGACCCTGAAAGAGAACTTCCATTTGGTTGAGCCATCCGCGAAACCTGCCCTAAGCTTTGGTTGGGAGCCTGAGACTGGGCATGCATCACGCTCCACCTACTGTAGCAACTCCTTTAATTTGCCCTTTGGAAGAACTTTGTACAAGCCCATGTCCACCAAATCGCCCTACATCCTTCTTTTCCTGTTTAGGTAGATACATGGCGTCATTCCACAGACCATAAGTATGACCCGATTTCTCCTCTCTTCAAAGAACAGCTTCTATCAAGAGAAATGCTCCTGTACTTTCCCCCTAATGTATATAGCTGGACCGTAGGCTCTATCTTCTTGTCAAAGACCAGACAGCATCTCTACTACAACCTGATTCCGTGGTAAAATCAAACCATGCCCGTAAAGCAGCTCGTAGATTTCTCTTGTACCTAACGGTCTATTTGGATCCTGTTTAAGGACATCAATCATTTAGTTGCAACGTCCCAGCACGCTCTGCTTCCATGAGGTAAAAGTCAAAGTACAGTGCCACGTACGGCTACCAAGGGCCTGTCAAGCAGAGATTTCAAATGTGGTCAGGGGAAGTTCCACACATGATATCAAAAAGACAGTGCTTAATTTGAATTCTGAAAAGAGGTGTAAGCTTTCTCGAACTATTTGAGGGATCCTACTGGAATGATGGATTTAAGAACCGATAACTTAAGATGAGATCAGGGTCAGGGTAATCATTTACGGCAAGGATGAGATGTTCTAGCTCAGTGATAGGCGACAGGAAGCCCTCCCAAACCTCATGACAGCAGTATGAGAGAATTTATTAGATGCTCATAATACGAGATTAAACAAGTAGGCTTTGAGTGAACTGACAGATGTATGTAAGCAATGCACTTGGAACTCCAGCGAACTGGTGAGGTTCATTGCTATTCAAATTACAGGTCAGAGAGGCCGACAAACACTAAGTCTACAATCAATAAACTTGATAAGAATGACAAGATGGTCAAGTCCAACGCCCTGCCAACAGGGTAATATGTGATCATCAACCATGCTGGCAGACGGAACATAATCAGCAAATGGGGCAGTATCATCAAAACGTACCTGGATAAATTCTTCGCATGTAGCTTGTAGTGTATACGGGCTGCGATAGACCTGCCTACGTTGTCAATTTGGACGCTCGTGTGTGTGTCACGTGCTGAGAAGCAGCCACCGATTTAAAGATCTCCGCATCTCAGGCCTGTAAAGTCGAACAACCGAAATGATAAGCCAAAGTAGGGTCGAATCTAAGGTAGACCATGAAAGCAGGATGAAGGAATTTTCCAACCTAAGACAATTTGGGTGGGCAAAGATTCAAAACTATATTCCCCAATCGAGCAAATTGACAGAGCTTAAGAGGGTTCGCAGCGATAGGGCTTAGAAAGTCTTCGAGGATGAAATGGTAATGTACGAGCAGGCCAGACATAGACACTGGCGTGAGATTTGAGCAAGCAAAGCACAGAGGTTCAGTGGACAGTCACCCGTAAAAGCGAGTGCGGCTACGGGTTTAGAAAGCCCGTGGTGAAATGCGCTGAAGGTAGTGCAGATATGGGCAGGGAGCTTAGGCCAAAAGCGCGAAGGAAAAATCCTGTAGGGCGAGGATCAGACAGACAACGAATTGGCAGCGGGGACTACAAGCAGGCGGGGGTCGGGGGCACACTGACTGATGAAATAGAAAAAGATTGGAATCGGAATCGTGACAATCGGGGAGAAATTACGTGTAGTACGTGCACTAGGCATGCGTGCGTGTTAAGGTCGTTCTTCTCTACCCCACCCCACCCCACCCCACCGCACAAGTAAGCAGCCACACGGGCGAGCAGTCCCAGGGCCCAGTGATTTCCAGCACCACCAGCGGGAGACACACAGAGTGAGAAAGGAGGAGAGAAAACACAAGCCAGACCGGACGTCGCACGAGACGGACGAGAAAGTGTACAGGGAGGAGATGGATAGACAAGTGACAAGCCAGAAAGCCGAGGAAAAGCTCGAAAGAGAAGAGAATAAGAAGAAGAAGAACCAGCAGAGGAGAAGAAGCAGAAGAAAAGTTACACGCCCACGCCAAACCAAGCCCACTAAGGCCCAGCCAGCCAGCCAGCCAGCCAGCCAGCCAGAAGAGAGGAAGAGAGAGGGAACAGCAGAGAACCCGACCTGATCTTCTCTTCCTTCTTTTTCCTTTGCCCTCCCCTCCCCTCCCCTCCCTTCCCCTCCCCTCCCCTCTCGTCTCGTCTCCTCCTCTCACCTCTCTCCTCTCGCCTCCGGGCCTCTCCTCCCCTCCTCTCCCCTCGCCTCGCCTGCCCTCCCCTCCGTTCCTCTCCCCTTCGGCCTTTCCCTTTCTTCCCTTCCCCTCTCTCTCTCTTTCTTCGCCTCTCCTCTGCGGCCCTTTCCTTTTCCAAGCCGTGCCTCCCTCGCCCCGGCTCTCATTCCCTCCTCTCTCTCTCCTCTGCTCTTCTTCCGCTCGTCTGCTGCTGCTGCTGCTGCTTCTGCTTCGGGCGCCCTCAGGAGTCAGGACGAGTATTCTGGCAAGAGTACGCCAAAAAAAATAACTAAAGCCCTATTACACCGTAATGTACCACTTTGTCCTCCTACGTCTGACGCGAAGATCCTCATCTCTTTCTTTACCTTGACCTCACCAGCGCACCACTGCCCTGCCCGGCCCTCCTCTCCTCCCTCTCCTCTGCACTGCTCTGCTCTTCTCTTGGCCTCGCCTCGCCTCGCCTCGCCTCGAACGAAGACACCGCCACTTATGAAACTCAATTAATAGCGCTGCCACAAAAGCTCTCGCCTCGCCGGGGCCAACCCTTGGCCTGGCGTGCTTCCCCTCTCGTGCCCGTTCGCCCTAATTCATGCCAGTCGCTCGCTGGAGACGAAGCCGATCTTCGTCAATTCCACGCATTCGCTCCCTCCTTCCTCTTCCCTCCTTCCGCCTTCGGGCCTGCTAACTCCGCCCTCTCTTTCGCTCGGTCATCTTCTTCGTGCTTTTCTCTATCCGCGATGCTACAGTTCGCTGCGCTTGGCCGACCCCGATCCCCAAATGCGCCTCAAGTACCACAGCCCGTATCTAAATGTTGTCTTGGCGCAACATGTATACCCCAAATATTGGCGATCGGCAATGAGCAGGACACACTTTTCGCTCCCAAATCACGAATTCGAATTCGCGATTCTTCAGCCACACGGCCACGGAGTCCGGCAGATTGCCATTATCTTATTCCGTCCCAGTTGAGATTCTCATTGTGTACTGTACTCTCCAGTCGTCGTTGTAGGTCCTTCCTCCATTCGCCTCATTTCTCTGCTCGCTCTAAATTTGTATTTGACATCTTTTGCGTTGACATGGGCATGAAATTGGCCCTCCTGCCCAAGTGCAGCAGGAGTCTTACATTCTCTGACTATGGTCGCATGCCTTCCATTCTTTTGCCCTGGATGAGAGAATCATCTCTGCTTGAAGCTTGCAAATTAACCCATGCATTCACTTTCATCCTCGGTCTGTGGTAATTCTTTTATTTGGGTGGTGTTTTCGAATTTTTTAAAGCGAGCTTACGAGAAACAATTCTCCCTTCGAAAACTTCCCAATTGGAAGCCTATATGTTCTAAATTTACCTTTACTGGAAAGGAGACCATTGTGGAACGTGATTATTCCGAGCCAATAGTCAATAGTCAAGGTGGCCGACTTTCCAATGATGTGGTTATCGACAAGTTGTAGGATAAAATGCATTATTCGAAACAGCGGAAATTCACACATATATCTTTCAGACTTCGTTTCGATTGCATCTCATACCTCCCAATTCTGCTAGTTTCTGGCAGTTTCATAGTTAGTGACTATATGACTCCCACGTTAGATTCTGCAAATAACTTCAGTTTCATAGTAAGTGAATACATGACTTCCAAGTTAGATTC